GGGGATGCTGGCTCCCCCCTCCCTCCCCCGACTGCTTGCAAGTGGAGACACGAGGCAGGCAGAGCTGAGGACACAGTCGATGCCCAAGTGACGACGTCTACTCCAAACACCCAGGACAACACAGACACTGCAGCCCAGGAGCAGAGTGAGCTCTCCCCTTGCAGAGAAACCAGAGCTGCAGCAGGCTGGGCACAGACAGCAGGATCACCCCTATCCTGGCGATTGTATGGGCCCCTACAGAACATGCACTGGGAATCACTCTTCCAGCAGATGGAATGCTACCTGCAGCCCCCCCATCACCCTCCATGCCTGACTCACCACCTCCAAAACAGGATGTGGGAAGATGCACCAGTGCACCGTGGGACTTGTAGTTCCCAAGACCTCAGATCACCCTTGCAGTCCTCAACAGCATTACAAGCCCTCAGTATGCCACCTGACTCTCGTTTGTCTGAGGGTATTTCTTGTTTGTCGGACACGTGAGTGGGACACAATAGAATTACGTTGCTGCTCCTGTCCGGTGCTCAGGTGTGCGATGCAATCAGGGTGGGCAATCGCCAGGAGTCAGCAACCACACCTTTCACTGTTCCGCGCAGTTGTCGTCCGCGCGCACACACACACACACACGCGGATCCAGGGCCAGGAACCTTCAAGCTCTCAGAGGGCCCCCCCAGCTTCTGTCCGGGGGGGGTCATCTGGGTGCTGCAGGACTGCCTACAAACTCCTGTCCACTGCAGATGACCAGGAGACCCTCACCGTCCCCCACTCCCCCACACCCTCTCCTACCTTCATAGTTGATGCAACCGTTGGCGTCCTCATGTCCTGCCAGCAGCGTCTCTACCTCCTCCTCTGTCATCTTCTCTCCTGCAGTGCAGAGCACACAGCCCACAGTCAGCGCCCGGCCCACTCGGCACGGACCGCACAGCCCCACGGTCGGCGCCCGGCCCACTCGGCACGGACCGCACAGCCCCACGGTCGGCGCCCGGCCCGTGGGGCAAGTCAGGGTACACCCGGGACAGGACGTGCACACACACAACAGGGTCTATTTTCCCCAGAAGCCAATTTACATCCCAGCATGTCTTTCTGTAACCGTGGAAGGCAACTGGTTTTCCTCCAGGAGCTCTGAACAAATGGGGGGAGTGAGCATGTGAACTCCACACAGAGAGCACTCCAAGTCCAGAGGCAGACCCCCGCACTGCGAGGAGCCATGGGACACCGCGCTGCCCTGCGTTACAGACGAGGTCTCAAGCTGCACTGAGAGCACGGGCGAGAAGCGGCGTACCCAGCGTGGTGAGGACGTGGCGCAGCTCGGCGCCCATCACGGTGCCGTTGCCCTCCTTGTCGAAGACGCGCAGCCCCTCCACGAAGTCCTCGAAGGAGCCCTGGTCCTTGTTCTTGGCGATGGCCTGCAGCATGGGCAGGAACTGCTCGAAGTCCAGCATCTTGTGGTTCATCTCTGCAAGGAAGATCAGGGTCACGCTGGACACCCTCTGCGCCCACAGACCCCACTCCCATGCTCACACCCCACATACATACCCCACTCTGCACCCACAGACCCACAGCACGGACCCCACGCCCACACACCTCAGTTTGCAACTGTCCTATTGCTGCAGGTTTTCCAGAGGATTTCCACCTGTCACTTTTCTACTGCAGAATCGCAGGTAATTGGCTTCCAACACCACTGCCAGGCTGGCTGTTCCAAACACCCACCACCCTTTGAGTAAACACGAAGCGGCTCACTACACTACAGGGACTGATGTCTACACACAGAGCCAGGGCACTGCCACCCACCTTGCACTGTATACAGAGTACACACACTGCACATTTACCCTCGCGTTACGCAAACGTGTACCCCGCAAACCCCAGGACACTCACCCTCGGCTTTGGGGTTCCCCAGCACCTTCAGCACCTCAGCGTTGACGGGGTTCTGCCCCAGCGCCCTCATCACGTCTCCACACTGGCTGTAGCTGATCTTGCCATCACCCGTCCGGTCGAACAGCATAAAGGCCTCCTTGAACTCTGCCAGGGGGACAGCAGGGGCAGGAGGAGAAAGATGAGAGAAAGCAAAATGGAGGGGCAGAGAGAGAGAGAGCGGGTGCACTGTGGTTAGTTCATAACTTTTCACCAATAGGACTGTGGCGCAACACACATTTCTTGAGAAAGAGCAGAAAGTGGCCAGCCCTGGCCTGGAAAGGGCCCAGTCCTGCAGGTCTTACAAACAAGCTCCTTCTGATCGAGTAAAACTATTTGTCCAACTTAATCATCCCGAGCTCAACTTGGAATAAAACCCAGGGAACTGCAACCCGGGACCAATCCTGGACATCCGCATGTGAAACATCTCATTAATACCTTTTTACTCTTAGAAATATTGCCCACATTAGGCATTTTCCCATTAGTATCCGATTCTGAATGCCTCATTCACTCAATTATAACATTTAGGCAGAGATTTTTGAATCTCTCTATGGGCTCCCTAACACTTCTTCTCAACAAGCTGCAATATGTCCAAAACTCAGCAGGAAGACGACTAACGCATACCAGACCCTGGTGGTATTTCACTCCTACACCTAAACCAGTCGCCTATGAAGTCACATATTCAATAAAAGATCTTGTCACTGCCTTTCAGGACTAAATCCGTACCCAGGACTAAGCGTCAGACTTGTGGCGACTGTGCCTTTTCCGTCTCAGCAACTTTGTTATGGAACGCCCTTCCTCCGACACCACGAGAGACAAATTATTTGTCTCTCTTCAAATCAAAACTCAAAACTCACCTTTTTTACCAGGGCCTGTCTGATTGCCCTACATTCTAGCTTTATAAACCTGCACGCTTGTTTGTTTTTCTTTTTATTGTACTTTTGTTTACTTTGTCACTACCCTACAGAGAAAAGCGTCCTTGGGTTTGGAAAGGTCCCCTAAAAATAAAAGATAATAATAATAATAATAATATCATCCCCTGCCTTTACCAAATCCATCCACACATTTTTTATTTCATCCAGTTCAGGGACACAGTGGCCAAGAAGCCCATCCTGGCAAGCAACAGCCACAAGGCAGGATACCCCCTGGATGGGACGTCAGTCCATCACAGGGCAGTTACACACAGACACACACGCGCACTCCAGGGCCATTTCTCCCAGAATCCAACTAACCCACCAGCATCTCTTCAGACGGCGGGAGGAAACCGGAGCCGTACTTGGGAACTGCATTCTGTTCTGGTTTCCCGAGCGGAAAGGCTTAACCGGACCAGCCCAGCAGGCAAGACGGGCGCCCAGAGACACTGGACCACAACACACGCACGGCTGCAGGCTGGAGGTCGGGTGTGGGAAACACGGCGCACGAGGGGTCACACTCCCACTCCCGACTCCCTCACGCTCGCCCCGGGCTCCCCTCACCCCACCCCACCCCTCCCGGTATTATTCCTACTTTAATATTTCAGCGGCGCTTGGCAGACGCCCCAGGGCGCACAGTGCTGTTAGGGCGCAGCGAGGCGTGCCCACAGAACAGTGCCGTCACGCACGCTATTGTCACAATCCCTGGATGCCACTCCGACACTGCAACACTGCTCCTGCAAAAAGCATCTGGAAATACCAGCCTTGAATCTTTTTGATCTGTTGTTCCATTCGCATTAGCATTACAGACTGAATACCTATTGCAGCAAAAAAACAAACCTCTAAGGACAATGAAAGGTGACATCTACTGTACTTTTAATCCTTTATTTCTGGAGTTCCCAACTCAAAAGCTAAAAGCTAAAAGCTTCAGCCTTTGAGAACAGTTAAAAACACACTAATTAAAAGGGGACCTCTGACATGTTCAGGGACTGAAACCAATTAAAGGGGCTAAAGTGAATGCAGATAGGAGGTCAGTCTCTGGTTCAACTGTATAATGGATCAGATGGCAAGATGGAAATTAGACACGAGGGTTCAAAGGACCAAGGCAGGGAACTTGACTTTAAGCCGCCTGGTATTGTAATTCTTACAGTCAATGGCATACAAATTGAGACTACATCTGTATACTATAAGGCAGCAATCCAAGAGATGGGCCAAACCCAGGATATGAACCTACAGCCTTCCACTTGGGCGTTCAGAGCCCCTGACCTCCGCTCCAACATCTCAAAAAGAGCGAAAGACAGAACTAGAGGACATACTGGGTCACAGGCCTTCCCGGTTTGTACTCCACTCCATTACCATCTACATTACACCAGAAAGGGCACAAGGCTGGTGGAGAAGAAGAAGCCTCTCGAGTTTTCGTTTTAAATCTTGTGCAAAAGCTCCCGTCGACTGGGAATTTATGATAAAGAGATGAAGGAGGGAGGGAGGGGTTAAAAAAACCCAAACAAACGCTGAAATACAAAAACGGGATCATCAGGCGAGGACCGTCTCCGCAAGGGAGAGGGTCGGGAAATGCTAAAACGCCAATTAAGGAATATCCCGGGGAACGCGCAAGGGACTGTTTGGGATTTGGGAGGGAGAGAGTCTGGAAAGACGCTGCGGAATTTCCTGACGTTGCCGCGTAATGGTGTTCGTTTTTCCTGCCGGCAGGAATGCGGGCTCTTCCCGGGAGCAGCCAGGACTCTCTTCACCATATAAGGCGCGGAGAGACGGAGGGAGGCAGGCAAGGGTGTTATCAGTCACCATCGCGGCTTCAGCACACCAGAGAGGAAACCGGCCGAAAGCCGTCCAGGAAACCAAAAAAGGAGATGGCCGTTTAGACCACCACCCCTCAACACACACACACCAAAAACCAGATACTAGCCTAGAAAAAAAGCAGCTTTCAGGCAGAAGGACTCGCCATCAACTTTAATCTCCGACCCGAGTAAGAAATTCACATTTCACCGGATACTCGAAACACTTTCTTAACCATTTCCTGTTCTGTCTTTCTTGTCGACGGCGAAACACGCTAACGGGACTTCGGAAGAAAAGAGAACGACAAAGGGGCATAAAAGCGCTCAAACAATCGTTTTCGGAGCTTTAACCCGAGTTTCAAGTGCAATACAAGTCCCATGACACGCTTTTCACACAGCATTTTACAGCTCTGTACTACAACAACTTTACCGTTGCCAAGTACTTCCGGTTTAACTCTTCGGGTCTCTCTCCCGATTTTTCTGACAAGATGCTGGGGGGGAATTACAGACCGACAAAACTGACAAGCTTATTTCAGAAACGAGCGCCATCTGTATATTTCAACGCCCTGCTCGGGATAGTAACAGATTAGTCCATATCCGGCGCATTTCCTCCCCAAGAGTAATCCACCGAAGGGAGGGATTGATAGACGGCCATTTCCTCACACTGCTGCAGAGTCGATCATTACACATGCGGGCTAGCAGTTCACCTCTATAAGGACATCTCAAGTCAGTATTTACACATCTGACATTCACAGCCTCCTGGCCTCAGTCTGACACCGTGCCTTTCCATTGAAAGGTGGGACATTGCGCACACTCACACCCAAGCCTGGTAGTCGCCAGTGCGGAATAGTAGCAGGAGTCACAACACGTTAATCGTTTCGCGCATGCAAAACCCAGGAAAAAGTCTTTCACAGTCGCCCTGTTGTTAGTTAACACTTCAACCCCATCAAACGTCACGCCAGGGTTTAATTTAGCAAAGCCACACACACCAGACCCGACTTCTGCGCTTCCTGTGCAGTGAGAGCACTCCTGCATGATTAAAGGCGACGTTCCCGTGTCAGGCATGAACACATTCGCCGGCCTGTACTTATCTCTAACCTCAGTCTGATCACAACGCACGGCAATGCATTGACAACTTACCGTAGATCTGTTCGGGTTTAAACTCAATCTGCAAGTTGTTTTTTTTTAAAAAAAAAGAAGAGAGAGAGAGAAGGAAAGGTGAAAAGAGGAAGATGTGATAGGACTCAACAGACAGATGAAGCAGTAAGCCGGTGTCCAGAAGCTGAAGATGAGACAAGAGAACCGTCTCTCCTGACGGAAAAAAAATAACTTTCAGATCCACAAAACCCCGAAGCTCTTTCGACAAGAAACATGTAAAAGGTAAAAGACTTACCAAGAATCTGGTCTTCTGAGAAGTCAGACTGTTTTATTAAAACAAAAACGGAGAGAAAACAGGGACACAAATCAAACACTAATACCAAATGATAGAAGCATTCGCATCACCTCCATTGCGGATACAAGGCTAATTTCAGGCTAATTGCGGATATAGGACTCCTGGTCACTGATAACAGAGGGAGGGTGTGGGGCTGGGGGTGTTATTAAGCTGTATAAAACAACTTCACACCCCCGGATACCTCACCTATCTACCTCAAACGCAACTGAACGAATTTACGAGATGTATCCGGGACAGATCCGCCTCATCCCGCTTCAAATCATATTCAATCCCCAGGCTCGGCGAGACGAGCGGTATTTCATTAATCGTGCCCCAGACAGGGGTAGCCAACAGCGAGCATTCTTGAAAAAAGGCCCTCCCACAGCCAGCTTGGGCTACACTGTCACTTCAGCACCCTTCAACGCAAAACTAGAAGAGCCTATGCTTCTGCTTAACCCTGCATCCCTGCATCCCGATATACCCCTGTTATATCCTGATCCGCCTGTGTAAGACACAATAAGAAAACACCCACCATTTTCGCTGCCCGGGCTGCTGAAGTTCAGAGTCTGTCGGTCGACGGCAGGAATGTGGGCCGGTCCAGGGCGGCGGGCCTGTAATACCTACTCCTTGCGTCACTGTTTACTGAAGCCCAGCGCCGCCAACCAATCGCAGCCCGGCTCAGCGGGCGTTGGCTTCATTGGGTTTACCGTAGTACCCCATAGTGAGGCGCACACATAATTATAACGGGGAGGGGACGAAGATTCACGAGGAGACGCTGTAGTTTGTAAACTTCAGCAGCCGCTGTCAAAATATTTCTGCGGCTTACAAAGCGGTCGTACAACGTATCTAAAATTAAAATGCATATAACCATATATGAATATCGGCCTTTATTATCCTCAATGATCATTTCTCAAAATCAGTTTAGAATTTCGTTGCACCCATGGATTCATATTTACGGTACGGAGAGAGGTCGGAGGCTGATGAATGACCTCTGCTGACTGAACCGAAGGGGTCCCCTAGTGTATACAAGCTGCAACTACACGACAATAAAGGAAGAATTTTTAAAAAGAAGAATTCCTTATATATATATTGAAGTAGATCAGGTGGGTAGCTGCGTCAGCATGCGTAGGCTGCAAATGAACAAGTAATAGGTTTATTCCACGCTGAAAAGAGAATAAAGAAAACACAACCTGAAGAAGGCTCCACAGCCGAAATGTTGTGTTTTCTTTCTTCTCTTTTCATCATGGAATAAACCTATGACTTTTTCCCATATATATTACACGTATTTTCTGGACACTCCACTCAAAGCACTGTACAGGTAATGGGGATCCCCTCCACCACCACCAATTTATATGGCTGCTGGTGATATAGCCAGCAGCCATATCACCCTGCAACTCACAACTGGCAGCCCACTGAAGCTCA